CTGCCCAGCCGCCTGCGAGCCGGGGCGCACGACCGTGCCGACCGCGCCGCGTCCACCTGCCACGCGGCCGACCTCCGGACCAGCTTCGCCGACGCTGCTGGGTTCGCGGGCGGCCACCTGAACTCACAACTCCCCGTCGCTTGGCCAGGGCCCGGGGGCGCCGACGGTCCGGGCTGATCCCCTCTCCAGCTCGCGGTGGGGGGAGTAGGTTCAGCCGGATGGTTCCCCGGCCTCAGTCGGGCGATGTGGTTGTGTGGCGGGGCGTGGCCTGCGGTGCCGTGCAGAGGAGGCGGGGGCACCTGTACGGCATCCGCAATCACGGCCCGCCGAATTAAATATTGTACTGGGTCCTGTGGTGGTGGTGGTGGTTGTTGTTATGTTGAGCTGGCAGCGGGAGAACTGCAGCTCTGAGTGCGACTGGGCAGCAACCGTGAGGGATTAATAAAAAAATTACCAAAATGCCACTGGGTCTGCCGTGGTCATTTACAGGGGTCATATGATTTTTGTTTTTTTTTCTCTGTATGTATTATTGTAGGGTCTACCTTACAATGTAAAGTGCCTTGAGGTGACTGCCTTTGTGATTTGGCGCTGTATAAATAAAGTTGAATTGAATTGATCCCAGTTAATATAATGGTGAATAATGGATAAACCATAAGCTCTACCCCGTAGTTTAAATATGGTCACATGGGGTTTCAAAAGTCCAAGATAATGATGGCTAAAATGCCAAAAGTAGTCCGCAAATCAGTGGACAACATCATGACAGCCCCGTCTATCTTTCATATGCGGTCGAACAAAACACAAAAATCTGAGAAGGTTGCCGGGTTTCTCTTTGATAAGCTGGAGTAAAGCAGATTCCAAGTCCCCAGCCTCGTGCTTTTTCTCTACCTCCACATCATGACAAATGACTCATTCCTGCACAGATGTGTGTCTGAGTTGTCCTCTTTCTTCTGCAGCCTGCTCTCTCTTCTTTTCAGACTAGTCTAATGGGACCAGTAATAACCCACCACTGTTACTGGACTGGATGATCTCTGTTTAAAAAGGTGTTTCACTGCACTTTGTGGTCTTCTATCCTTTTGATCGCTGCTGTTTCATAACAGCATGTCCGCTCATCTGAAAACAGTTGGCAAAACCAGGTGACGTGCTCAGAGCATGAAGATTTAGTTTGGGAGCGCTGTTCCACTCTCTATCAATTATTCAACCAGTCTGTGCTTTGTCTCTCTCTTTCTCTCTCATCATTTCAAGCCACTGATTGTTGGACTGCTATCTTGCTGGATTTTTTCCCTCTTCCATCGCTTCTCTCCCTGTTCCTCTCTTTTAGCTGTCAGGTATGGCCTGTGACTCCAGGAAAAAAAAAATAGGCAAAAGAGAGAGAAAAAAGCTGAAGACAGATAGAGGCTGAAAGAGCACGAGGCGATGACACGCAAAGAAAAAAAGAGGTTATTGTCTAAAAATACCACATTCTCAGTCTCACCAACATCAACACATTGTTATGCATTGCATAAACCTATATGCTCTGGCATGCATGCATATATGCTCAATCACACACGCGCGCCGTCCAAGGTCAAGCGGCTCATGTGCTCGTTTCAATTCATTTTCACAGCTGCTGACTCACTGTGATGGCAAGGCCAGCGGTAATTAATGGTGATACTCAAATAATGCACGTGTGAGCACAAGGGGAGGGTGAGCTGCTGAATTGTTTGTATTCTGTGCCACACGAAGCGTATGATTCGATGTGCTGGTATGTGTTTGAACTTAAGCAGTGAAATCATTTCATTCCCTGGCTTTGTTGTTTGTGTGCAGAAGCTCCGCTGTGAGCTTGGTGTGGGATGGGAATATGTCTATGGGCCATACTAATTACGAGTAGGAATGGAAAGTGTCTAATGTGCTCTGGGGAGGTAATTGACATTGATTTATGTTGCTGAGGACTATGGAGGGGTTCTATCATAGCAGGCAGC